TCCCCTGCTCTCTCCCTCCTCCCTCCCTCGGCACCCCCCCCTCTCTCACTCTCCGCTGTTCTCTTGTAAATTAGCCAGGCTCCGGGGGAGAGCGCAGCACAGCTCAGCCTGCCAATTTTATTAATCATTTTTGCATGCTTAAGAGAGGGGGTGAGGAGGGAAGGGGTGTGTGTGTGTGTGTGTGTGTGTGTGTGTGTGTGAAGGGGTGGCTGGCTTTTGCGTGCCGAAAACTATCAGAGCACTATGATTATCCATGCAGTGCAGTGAGATGAAAAGCATTGCTGAACCCTTTAACTTACCCCCTCCCATCCAACCTCATGCACGGGGGGGGGGGGGGGGGGCATCAAGTGACCCACCCAGCACAGGTTTAAATTCACACTCTGGCCTCAAGGACATGCATTCGATAGAGAGCGAGGGGCCTCTTTCAATTTTGCACGAGGTGTCTGGACTCAGAAACGAAGACACGGCACAGAAAATACCGGCGGCTCGTAAATCCAAGCAGAAAACAACAAATCACAGCGTGACCTCGCCGCCCCTGCACCCCCGCATCACTCTGACTTCCATTTTTCCCAGAAAACACTAACCTGAAAAACAAGGCCTCAACTGTAATTAACACGTTCTCAATCAATTAGCAGAATAATTACTTTCCATTTCCGAGTTTTTAATGTTTTTCATTACTTTTGGCACGTCCTTCTATGGCAGGTTACGAAAGCACGAGCTGCCAGTTGGAGGCTGGTTGCAGAATGCGTGGAGAAACCCGATGCCAACAAGCATGCTAACGAGGACAGGAGCGGCTGCACGGCATTCCACTCTGAGATAGGGCGTCTTCAGAGAGAATCACCCCATCGCATTCCACGCATCACTCAGAGAAGACGCCCAGAGTCAGGCTGTCCCTCACGTTTCCAGAAGGCGAGCTGCCAATCCTTCTCCTTGCCAAGGCTGATGTCACTTCCTGTCAATGCATTGAGCACCAGAGCAGAAGATGACCTGTCATGCAGACACCTGAAGCCACTGGCACCTTACCTGAGCCAAAGAGTTGTATCGGCGGAAGAGCCAGATCACAAACAGCATGAAGACACTGGAAGTGAGAAAAGAAACAAGTTTTTTAAAAGTTACATGTTTCTGAACACGGAACGAATATTTCTGGAAAAGGCAGCCTGTGCTGTGTTTAGAGAAAGACACTGCGCAGCATGCTGACCTGTAAGCCTTCTCCAGGGACACACTGCAATCTGCACTGCACTGCACTGCACTGTGGACACGCTGCAATCTGCACTGCACTGCACTGTGGACACGCTGCAATCTGCACTGTACTGCACTGTGGACACGCTGCAATCTGCACTGTACTGCACTGTGGACACGCTGCAATCTGCACTGCACTGCACTGTGGACACGCTGCAATCTGCACTGCACTGCACTGCGGACACGCTTGTGTCACTCCAGTGCGCCGGTGAGGGTTGGCAGTGATTACAGTGCCGGGGCAGTGACCAGGCCCTAGTACTTACGGTGGTCAGACAATCCTATGCCCCCCCCCCCCCCCCCCCACACCCCACACACCACCTCTATCACATTCCACCCCCC